ATGTCCCCCAAACCCGCATCATGCCAGGCCATGCCCCCCGAACCGCATCATGCCAGGCCATTTCCCCCAAACCGCATTTTGCCAGGCCATGCCCCCCAATCACATCATGCCAGGCCATGCCCCCCAGTCACATCATGCCAGGCCATGCACCCCAAATCGCGTTGTGCAAGGCCATGCCCCCCAAACCGCATCATGCCAGGCCATGCCCCCCAAACCCGCATCATGCCAGGCCATGCCCCCCAATCACATCATGCCAGGCCATGCCCCCCAGTCACATAATGCCAGGCCATGCACCCCAAATCGCGTTGTGCAAGGCCATGCCCCCCAAACCGCATCATGCCAGGCCATGTCCCCCGAACCGCATCATGCCAGGCCATGCCCCCCAAACCGCATTTTGCCAGGCCATGCCCCCCAATCACATCATGCCAGGCCATGCCCCCCAGTCACATCATGCCAGGCCATGCACCCCAAATCGCGTTGTGCAAGGTCATGCCCCCCAAACCGCATCATGCCAGGCCATGTCCCCCAAACCCGCATTATGCCAGGCCATGTCCCCCAAACCGCATCATGCCAGGCCCTGCCCCCCAATCGCATCATGCCAGGCCATGCCCCCCAAACCGCATTTTGCCAGGCCATGCCCCCCAATCACATCATGCCAGGCCATGCCCCCAAGTCGCATTGTGCCAGGCCATGCCCCCAAGTCGCATTGTACTAGGCAAAACCCCAAACCGCACTGCGCCCGGCCACCCCAGGCCCCGACAGCATCCGCCCAGGTACCTCCCAGATCATTTTGCATGGGCCCATTACTGGAAGTTCAGTTGCGCAAGTCCTCGTGCTGCATTGATTCCATTTGACCGTCCAACCGAAACCGTTGGCCATTATTAACGTTGACCACTCGATCGTTTACAGAACTGCTGTATTCGCCACTTATTGATATTTTTATTATTAACCGTTATACGGCCGGTATGGCGTTTACTGTACGACACCATTCGTTCGGTCATTGCTCGTAGTTGGCGCTGCATGCAGCCAACAAGTTATCAAGCCAACAAGAATGGCGGCAACTGATGATGATGACCATGATTATAATGATGACGATGATGATGATGATGATGATGATCATGATGCCGATGGCCTTTACAGCAGTTGATAGTTGCGGCTATATGCCGCCGCCGCCGCCGCCGCCGCCGCTAGCCACCTGGCCAGCAGCGGCGGCACCCGGCTGGGTGCAGCTGGGTGCGGAAGAATTGCACCCAGCAGTGCACCTGAAGGAAAAGGGACAAGGCGGGGGAAGGGCGCGGGAAGTCAAAATATGGTTAGCAGTACGACACAACTAACACACACATAATTAGGTGACAGTTGCAAGCAAGGGTACCGCTGCTGGTCCCCACGACGCACACCCCATGCACCAAAACCCCAAGCCCATCCGCACCCACCTCAGCCGGGTCCATCATCAACAACGCCCGCTCGGTGCCACTGGGGTGCACAGGTTGATGCCCCAGCCGCACCTGAAGAGGAGGTGCGTGATAAAGGGGGAAACGGCCAGAGGGGATAGGTAAGGGGGCAGCATACACGGGGGGGAGGGGGGTAAAACACCAAATGTCATTATTTTGCCCAAAAGTCA